ATTGTGAGCTACTCCAGACTTTTGATTTTTAGATATTAGAAATATTTTCAAGTCTTTAGGTACCTACATTTTAAACAACTACCGGTGGAAAATCAGAGACAGTTATATCCCAGTCTATAAAAGGTGCTACTAAACTTAAATTCATTCATAACATCAACTGCTTTGAATTGAATTATCGGCAATGAGAGTGGTGTATTTATGTCTCTGTTAGTACGCAATTACCATATCTATTAAACTACATGCTGCCCAATTAGTTCCTTCTGAATATCGATAAATTCCTTCTACTTTATTTTTAAACAAAATTCGTAATATTGTGCATTCGGGATAAGTGCATGAAAGTAATTGTGTTTGTTTGCGAAAAAATTTCCCCTACAAAATTAAGTTCGCGAAATTTTATTAAGGAAATACATTTTTATTCTCGTGTAAATCGCCATAATAAAGTATATTCGCGCTTCCCTCCATCCCGCAAAATTGTAGACATAGTTAGCTGCAATCGTATCCCAGAGGATAAGTAGGAAATGGGGTCGAGGGAAAGGCAGGAAGAACGAGACGTTTTATGGTTCCTCCGTACGCGGCAGTGCATGTCCTCTGCTGGGGGGCCATAATCATGTGTCTTGATTAGCGCCGTTTGTACATAAGAATCCCGCCACCGCAGAATGTTATTGCCGAGCGACCCTGTTCATGGTTTTCATTATGAAATTGAATATCAACGCTACTGATTTTTTCCAAAGATTTTGGGAGACGTTACAGAATTTGCCACACAATAATTGCAAATTGGGTAAACAAATGTTAGCCGTTTCAGCAAAAAAGTTCCAGTTAGCTTGTCTCGGTTGTAAGGTGTCTTCTGGTAACAAACTTAAGAGTTATTTGACTCGCTTCCTTTTCCATCAATCAAACGCTTTTTTATTTCTTGCCTGGCTCTGGACATCGTTCAAATTTGTAAGGATGCTTGTCGAGTGAAAGAATTTTCTCCGCAATATTACTAGATAATATTTTTTTGAATTATTTTTACTTGTCTACTACGTCAAGCTGGATGGGAATAAGCTCAGGTATTATACAGACTGTAAATTATGGGCATAAAATGTTGAATTCGATTTGAAGCGAGAATAATATTGAGCAACATTTATTACTGTGGAGTGGTTGACTTTGGAGTTTACACATATAGTGTGGTCTACAATTTGTGTTGTGTGTGAAATATAATAGTATACCGGAAAATAAGAAATAAAACTTTATAAAAGTCGCTTAAATCAGACGCTTTGTCTGTTTAGAAACTATACGATTTCATAAAAGTTGCCCCTAAGTACCTGACAACTGCTTAGTTGTTAGCCCCAGCAAAGTGCAGCTTTTTGTATTTGCGACTAGTTTTTAAATATTGTTCTCTTAAACAAACAGTATCGAAAATGCTAAGTTTATCTGCCTAAGGCTGAATCATCGGTCACATATCTGCGTATTAGACACGGGGGGCCATTGCGTTATTTAGTGGCACGAAATTGAAATTTAATCTCCTGAAAAACTGCAAGAATTTGGAGAAAGTGAAAGTTGTCGACGTAAATTGGTAATTGTTAAAACCAGTTGACCATGTGGTTTTATCTGTTATCATTTTCATTTACTCACAATGCAATAGGCATTTACTAAATCATTATGTAAACCACATAATTTGCTAGTGCATTTTAAGAAGAGTTTTAATTTGTTTTTTATGCAAATATCTTATTCAAAAATATTTTGTTTTGATTAAATTTTTCATTTTCTCTTAATACCTACGGAAAACATTTCCAAAAGATGGCCATTTGAAATCAATCAGTATACATAAGCTATATCCCCTGTGCATTCAAATAGTCAATCCACTTTATTTACTTAATGCTGCTATAAATAATTATTTTTACTATCACTGACTAGTGAGCAGATTTTGAAGTTTGAAGCACTACAAATAGATGAGAGTTTCGATCTTCCCCAGATGCTGGTAGTATGGCAACCGAAACATGGATCATGTGAAAAAGCATGTGCTTGTCAAATAGTGAAACTCGGTTATTTTCTCAAAGAAGAAACGTAAAACTTTTTGGCTAAACCACAACCGCTCTCCTTCAAACACCTGCAGTAACAGAAAATGAGGCGAGTCCCACATGGTTGCTAAAGCTCTCGAAACACTTTATATAATTTTGAAGAATTTTTGCAGCAAGCACTGAATAGATAATATTCCAAAAGCGTTATTCATGCAAAATGTATTTAGAAGTTAATAAAGGTCTGACACTTTTGTTACTTTAGTTCTCTTTTTAAATGATTGTAGAAACAAATGTTCGAAAAGTTTGTAGCCACCACAATAATAATAGATTTTCAGAAAATATTATCTTTGACGTTGTTAATTGACCCTCATAAGCAAAAGTAACTGGAAAATTAATGTTGGTGACTTATCAAACCGACAAGCGCTTTCTGATCTTTATATCGGAATGAGTTTGTGGAAGGTACCCAGATAAGGAATCTTTACTCTCACCGCAGTTTCCTGTTTCCGCCCGTAGATGAGTCAACTGGCAAAAGGAGAGATAATAAAGGCAAAATACATCGGCGATTCTATTCAACGACGACCCAGGTACAAAATTCTGCGGGACAATTCTATCATATAATTACTCCGCGATGTTCATTTACACGCAATCTTTCACCAAAATACATTAACGCATTGGTCTATTTTTAACCAATTAGCCGCGATCTTAACGACCATTATTTTCAATGAGTACGTATTCTAAATATGTTACTTTAAGCTCAAGTTTTTTTTTGTGATCTTTGTTAATATTTTCAATATTTTGATGGAAGCTAGTGATAACTTTCATTTATTTTAATGCCACAAATACACGATAAGGAGTAGTATTATTTTTATTATTTTTATGTACTGTAGGATACGTCATTCAAGTAGCGAAATTTTAATACAATAAATTATATAGCAAGTCTCGGTTGGAGATGGTCGAAACGATTAGTCCTTTAGTTCGTTGCGGGACGTAACGTAAAATACAGTTAAAGTTCTGGCATTTATTATTTTCTTTGCAGCAGGAATGAATACTAGAGTAAAACCGCCATTTCAGCAAACTTTAAACACTTGTTGAATGACAGTGGATGTTTGATAATTTAATGGTTTTGATTTGCTTTGATTTGTTTTCGTAGGCGAATCCGTAACAGGAAAATGTCCTTTTTCATCCAGCCTTACATTAGCAGCTGCATGTGCTTGAAGCTGTTGGAAAAGGAAAAGGTCTGTCGAAATTTTTAAATTGTAACTGATAGTTTTCCGTGCACTTACGCATAAAAGCAAGAAAACATTTGCCACAGCCATGTCAATGATTCTAGTAAACAGACCCCAGTACCACTTCTTTCCTCTCAAAGCAATCAAATACTTTTCTAGCCAGTCATGGTTTACTACTCCTCCAGTAATCGATTATAGTTATTAATAACTTTTGGCTGATTTTTTGGAACACGAGCTTCTCGAGTTGGGTTGCACTGGGCGACTGTGGCCCGTTGGCTTGATTGCATCAAAATTAGTACCTATTGACACAGATTTATTGTCATTCCATCTGATTATCAATATTTTACTTTCCTTGTCACATCTGGAATCTTACAGGATTATTCAAAATTGGCATAATTCCTTTTAATCGGTAATAGGGGCTCACTTATAGAGTACCTACTAGAAAAATATTGAAATATTTTTTCGATAATTTCTAGAAGATATTAACGTCAGTTTTAAAAATTACGGCCTTTGCTTCAAATTACAAAAAAAATAAAATTTTACATCAAAAAAGTTTTCTTCCACAATTGTTTTGATGAAAATTCGAAGCGGCTATGTTGTTTTTTGTCATTAACAGATGGTTTCAGGTGGATCGACTCGGTCAACAATAACAATAATTTGTCAGACTGTGACTTACTTTGAAGCTCCTTTCACGATTTTGCTGATATGCGATTAGTTCAGGGGAAATTCTACAGTAATATAGCGAAAGCTGTAAGAACTCACGCCAACAAAGGGAGAGGAGAGTGGCTTCCGGAAGATAGTTGACGGCAAGAGACGTTCGGGTTCCAGACACAGAGGAGCAAATATTGGAGATAGTTGCATCAGAGCCTTCCAGGGGTACTCAGACCACAATAACTGACACTTTCCTAAGCATCAACTAAATACCGAAGAAGGGCTACACACAACAACACCGGTACAAATTGAGCAGGAGTTAATTAACCGGATACGAGATGCTGCTCAATAAGGGTGGATAATAAGGTAATTACACAGGCGCTAACTTGTTTCGAATTAATGACTCAAATGTATGTTTAATTGTAAACATAAATTCGAGGTTATGAGGACAATAATTGACATATCGGAAAAGAACGTTCCAGAGTCAACGAATCCTGTTGAACTTACCGTTTATCCTAGTATATTTTATTGTCACATTCGGTGTAATTCAATGGTCACCGCAGTTTTTAATAATTACGAAGCAACAGGTATTTACGTAATGTTAATTAGACAGATTACCTTGAAAAACATTGTTGCTGTCTTTTTGATATATATTTCTGCAAATTTCTCAGTTTTTAATAACAATTCATTATTTAACTATTCTTTATGTACTCTTAAAACACCGYCAGACCACACCCCCGGAAGCATGACGTTAATTTTGARTCATCCTGTTTGKCCACGAAGAAGTTTTTCCAAATTTTCTCGATTTCTCTTTTGTTCCTGTTGCACAGAAATGCATTTCTTTTAATTTGTGAAGCAATGTATGCCCATTAAAAAAGTTACCGAAATATACACAACAACACTTGGAATTTTCAATTATTGATAACATGTTTAGCATTACTCTGGTAACCTTGGTACCAGAGTACCAAGCGATCAATTTTCCAATGAAAAACAATAGCAATATCCATCTTCCACACCCATCGCCCATAGCTTGTAACCAAAATAAATGGGTTGTCCTTTTATAAACTGCTTTAGGAAGTGATCTTATCATCATTTCGTCAACTGACAGATTTTCTTTCTTCGAAAAAAAAATCAAAATTTCATCATCAATAAAAAATACTAACCAAGACAACAAAAAAATCAAAGACGGTGGCGAACTGGCGGAAGGTATGGCCAAAACATGTAGCTAATAAATTCGAAATCAATAGCACATTTGCCGCAGTCAAAATCCGGTGGAGCCGACACCGGGAATACTCCATTCTGAGGCTCAAAAAACACTAAGAGAGATAAAACTTTGAAAAGCTGCCGGCCTGGATGACTAGAAAAAAACTCAGATAATCTAAAACTTATTGAGGAGGAAAACATACACATTGCGAAGGGCAAATGGGTTTTTCTGAAAGAAGGGGTACCATGGATGCCTTCCTTATTCGCACTGTCTGGCCTGTTGTAAAAATGCATCAACAGAGGGAAGTATATATGTGTTGCATAGATTATACAAAAGCTTTTGACTGTATCAATCCGACCACACTCTTAGAACTGCAGGAACGAATAGGTGTCGATGCCCAAGATATAAAAATCGTTCAAAATCTTTATGAACAACAAGTGGCATCGGTCAAGCAGGAAAACATCGAGACAAGCACCGTACCGACAAGACGGGTAGTCAGACGAGGGTGTGTACTTAGTCCCATGCTTTTTAATACGTATTCAGCATCTATTTTACAAAACGCTTAGAACGAGGCAGTAGACGGTCTGAAAGTCAATGGGAATTTCATAAACAACTTAATATATATATATGCCGAAACAGCGCTACAGCGATAATGGCAGACAGTTCTGATGGGCTGAAACGCATAATCGACAGCATTCCAATTTCGGACAAAATTGGACTGAGGATTAATATCTCCAAAACGAAGGTCATGCTAATAAGTTGCAATCCGAACAACTACTTCGACATAAACATATACGGTTTTCCAATCGTTTTCCAATCGAGCAAGTCAAAAAATTTATATACCTAGGAAGTTGGATCAGCGATGATCTCATCCTGGAGAAATTAATCAGATGCCACTTAGAGCAAGCTAGAGCCCATTTTATTAAAATGGGGAACCTGAAACTGACAGGAAACCCAATTTAACCATAATTTTTAATTTTTAATTTCGTTAGATGTGTATTCCACGGTACTATATGGAATCGAGGCCTGGACGCTAAAAGTCAGCAGCATTAACAGGCTGGAAGCATTTGAGATGTGGGTGTACCGCGTAATGCTGCGCGGTCTATGGAAGATCATACCACCAATCTAAAGGTCTTACATAGAATAAACAAAGACCGAACAATTCTCGAGACCATAAAGAAGCGAAAGACTGCTTACCTTTTATATGTCATGAGACATGACAAGTACAGATGCCTGCAACTGATTATGGAGGGCAAGATTGAGGGCAAGATTGATTGAAAACATGGTCCTGGACGTAGACAGTGCTTTTGGTTAAAGAACATTAGGAATTGGACAGGCTTAAATTCAAGCTCTCTGTTAAGAAGAACCCAAAACAAAGACGAATTTTCCAGAATGATTACTGATCTTTACTGAGTGGAGAAGGCACTTCCAGAAGAAGAATAAAAGTCTTAATATCATTTTGAGTAGTACTAAATACATGCTTATTTTTTTGTGTAACTTCATATCCTACTGATTCTTGAGTAATAATATTAAATGTTTTGGTTTCAAATATATGTACGGCACAAAGTTGATTCAATGCAGTTTTCAGTTAATTGTATTTTTCTTTATCAACGGCTGACTGGCTAACTCACAGTTCGATTCACGAAGAGGTTACCTCGCGATCCGCTTGAAGAACCTGTGCTAACTCGAGAGCGTTTCCACCTTGTCTAAATTTGTAGTGGCAGCTCTGCACGATTTCGATATACAATACCTGTTAAATATACGCTATTAAAAATTCTGAGAAAAATTGAAGCTGTCTCTAAGATGTCAGTTGTCTTATACAATCGCAATTTCTTCAAAATTTTTAAAATTGTTGTTCCTTATAATTAGTTAATATAATCCGAAAAAACCTATCCAGTGTTCAGATATCAGAAATTCCAATCTGGAATCTACTGGCTCACATTCTTCACCCTTAAGGCATACGTCTTTTTACCGGTCGAGTGCCAAAGTCATTATCACCTTCTTGCTGTTTCTCAGACCTAGGCTTTATTTGACATTTTGATGGATGGTGCTCGAAAGCAAAACTGAATTATATGGAGAAATAATCGTTTTATGATCTACACGTTGGGATTGCTATTTCCTGAATACGGTGGTTGCTTTTGGTTTATTGGCAGCTAAAAAAGCGCTGATGTGCCTCGGGAAGTGCCATGCTCCTTCAGCAAATATGGGAATTTTCCAATAGTAATCGTGCATGTTTATGAAATTTGCAATTTCTTCAAGTAGACTTATTAACACACATGTAGTAAATTCATGGATATCCAATATGTGATTCCAACAATTAAATTAAAATTTGTATATTTCAGAATTTTTCGAGGGCCGGAAAATATATTTGCGTTAAGCTTCAACTAAATACGACAAAAACTGGAGAAAAAAATGAGAAACTGAAATAATTGCTATGTTCAATTAATTGCAATAATGTCAAAAGTGTCAACAGTGGATCATAAAGTTACATCGAAAAAGAATGCATGTTCAGATTTGATGGCTTTACATTAATAGCAAAGACAATTTTATTTTCAGTTTTGTAGTTTATTTCTTGTTGTATTTAATTTCTACATTTTGTTGCGTTTGTTAAGACAAAAAAAGGTAAGTTAAACATCAATATTTCGCTTAATAAAATGTAGGAAGCTGTTAAATGTTACGAAATAGTAGTTTTTATTCGAATGAATCTAAAAGTCTCATTTTTCGAGCAGAAGCGATAATCGAAAATAAGCACTTTTCTCTACTGTTCATTTGTTTTCCTTTTACGCACGTACTTTTACGGACATGTGCGCAAAAGTAAATGTGACAAATTGAACCTGCCACTGTTGTTATATTTTTTAAAGTATTGTTATTAAAAAGTGATCGATATGCTTTTTTATTACAACTATTGATTATAATTTAAAGTTTACTTACAATTTCTAAATAATAACTTTGTTACAAGTGCTCTGCGATCGCCGATGTTGCCACAAGCAAAACACGATTTTTTTAAATAGAGCAAATTTCATACGAGATATGCACCTTATACAAACACCATACCGTGAAAGCAGCACTTGAATTGTCAACACTTATTGTTTCACTTGTATATGCTTACAAAAGTACGCTTTTAAATAATTACAAACGTCAAAACGTGACAATTTCAAAAATCTCATTGACATCAGATTTAAAATATGAAGTTGACGCCTTGAATATTTTAATTTATTACAACTTATGATTCGTCTCATGTCTTTAATTCGAATAAAAAATATTGTTCGATACGAGGGCAAAAATCCGTTTTTCGCCCTTGTATTGAAAACTACTATTTCGATACAAGGTCGTTTTTCGAGCGACGACGACGTTTTGATGTCAATGCCATTTTTGAAACTGTCATGTTTTGACGTTTGTAATTTTTCAAAAGCGTACTTTTGTAAGTATATAAATGCAACTGAAACAGTGAGTGTGAAAAATTCCAGTGCTGATTTGACTACATGGTGTTTGTATAAGTTGCATATTTTGTATGAAATTTGCGCTATTTAGAAAATCGTGTTTTCCTGGTCGCAACATCGGCGAGCGCAGAAAAATAGACCATTTGAACGACTTTGAGACTGAACTTGTAACAAAGTTATAATTTATAAATTGCTAGTAAACTTTAACTTATAATCAATAGTTGTCGATAAACATTCGTAATTCATTAAAATAGCAAATTGGTTACTTTTTAATGACAATACTTTAAAAAATATAATAACAGTGAGAGGATCAATTTATCACATTTACTTTTGCGCACATGTGAGTAAAAGTCCGTGGGTAAAAGTAAAACACATGGACAGTAAAGAAAAATGTTTCTTTATGATCATCGCATCCGATTGAAGAATGGCACTTTTAGATTCAGTCGAATAAAAACAACTTAATTTGATTAACAGTCAGAGAGTGGCGAACTAATCCAAAGTAATGCTAGGATTAACTTCCTCGATAACACTGTCCTTAAAAAATCTATATTTTAAATTAGTTGTTCCGTTGAAGGAGTTTTTAGTTAGTACATTTTTAATAGTTTTTAGACAAAATTATGTGTGGCATTGTATATTTGCAAAATAAAAACTACTAATGTTTCATACTTTTTGTATTTACAGATTCTAGATAATCTAATGTTATAGAGAAAAATGTATACATATGCTTATTCTCTTTAGAAGATTGGCGTGTTTTTCGGAATAGAATCGATATTATCTAGATGGTATTTGAATAGTTGTAGTATAATGTTTATAGCAAATCATCGTTTCTTTAGAACAGTTAGCTTTCTTCCCTTAAAGCACGTCTTCCTACGGCGAGTCCGGTCTCAACTTCTTTTCGGCTTTGTAAAAATGTTTAGAATCATTCACTTCAGGTTTATGTAAATAACTCTTGGTAAAGGTATTGTCAGCGCGTTCGGTTCTGAGATAACTGCAACTATTTAAAAAAAATGAGTGTAAATAATAATGTTTCATTGGGATCGCATCTGATTTCCTAAATATACACTAAGGTAGAAACTATAACTTGAAAACAATTCATTTCAGTTTGAGAAAGTATCTCGAAGGTTTTTGCAAGCTTCCATAATTTATTATCTAAAGTTGACTAAAATTCGGAGTAGCTTTAAGTGCAATCTTTTAAGAAACCAATGAATCAAGGCGAATTTAAAATCTCCAATCTAAGCGCAAAAAATCTCACAGCGATTAAAATGGCAATAATGGTAAATTAATTCAAAAGAACAATGTAAACAGATCTCGTTGCCGAGTATAAATCTTAAAAGAGATCAAGTGTTTGCACGGGAAAGAAGAAAGTCGTTTTAAATATCAGCTGATAATTTAATTAAGCGATCTTTTAAGCGTCCCTTTAGGTAAAAGCAAGCAAAGAAGCCGAAAAAAAAAGAAATGTAGCAGCGGTTTCCTCAAATGCATTAGCGGGTATACATTTTAGATGAGGAAAAATTATAAAATTATATCCTTTTTTATTTAAAGGCTTTGAAATATTTTAAACTGCTTTTTCATGCGTAGATATGCATAGCCATGTTGTGCATTGTGGCTCTCATCGTGCTTTCTAGTTAACATAGAACTAAACTAAGATTTTAATTTTACTTCAAGTACATACTTATGTACGTACGTACATACACATGTGGTGCATTTACAAGCTGTTCTGAAACCATATCAACGGCTTCAACTTTCAATAATATCAATCGGATATGAATTAAGAGTTCAATCGGAAATTTTGCTTTAAAATAAAGACATTTCAAACCCAATCACCAAAAATACAGAGGTATTCAATTATAAGATTGAAGTTCCGGTTACATTTTAGCATATCTGTAAAGATTTAAATTTCATAGCGGTCACACAGTCTAAATTATATAGCCTTCAAAAACTTTGAACCTTCTCCAGTGTAGCTATAGTTACATATTGACACTTATGCTAAGAAATGAAATAAACTATTTGCAAAAGCACATAGCAACACTTTTTAACTTACGTTGTTCGTATACTCTTGTACGCCTTTGTTTCCATGGGTTTTGGATAACTTTATAAAAGATTTTTGCATTGCGGTTTCGAGTAACGCGAATCTACCTGATTTCCTTTGTTATAAAAACCGGCATGTTCTTTTATGTGGATTTTCGGTTGGTTTAGTGATTATAAACTTTCGCCTTATGGCTCGGTTTTATTAATTTCGGTTGGAAAGCTATTCGCGAGCTTCGTCGAGGGTTATCGCCATATATACGTCATACTTGAGGTTTTATTCCCCTCCTTTCTAAAACGGCGGCAAGCATAAAGTGTTCGCCTCGGTTTTGACTTATTTACGGTATTTTTTTATTACTTATTACTCTTACCTTAAAAGCAAAAGGGATTATGACTCTGCTAAATTAAAATTTATTGCAAAATATTCGAATTTAAAAATGCAAATCATAAACACAAATTGCAAAGAAATATTTGCATTTCCGACATACGTATTATCTGAAAGTCAGTATAGATGACGTATGGAAACTAATCAAATTGAAATTCAATTCTTTAGATTGTGAAGTTTAGCCTCGATTAAAATAGCCATGATTTTAAAGAATATCTTTAAATTGAATAATTGATTTTAAGAAAATTATCGTTATCTTTGTGTATTCGAACATGCGGTTACTGTGGGCATACTAAAATCGGCATTCGAAAGTGACGGTTATTGCGAACAATACAACAAGAGGAAAAAATTCTTAATTTAAGCCATTTTCTAAAAACTAACACCGGTATGAAAAGTCGATCTTTCTAGATATTGTTTTGGCGGATAGCCGAGGGTGCTGCGGTCGACGCGAAAGCGACGGATTTTTGATGCAAAGTTGTTCTTCGTTAGTTGGAATCGCCGACGATTCTCCCATAGAATGACTATGCGCAATATTACTATGCTGGTGGCCAAGCAACAACACATCATACATACAAGCCTGAATTTTTTTCACCAAGTAGAGACTGACAATAAAATTAATTTAACATTTCTGTCATCATAAGAACAGCAAGGCCTAGATTTGTGTTTTGTTCCTGGTGACTGATTAATGGGAACAAAACATTTTGCATTAATACAATTATTA